ATAAAAAATATTTTTGGTATTTTGTGTAAAAAAATTTATTGCAAATTCCATATTTTCATAAAACCGGCGCTGGAATAATTCTGCTATAATAAGAATTACGTTTTTTAATGCTTCTAAAATTATTTTGCATTGTTTTTCTTGAAAAATTACAAAAACAAAATGTTTTCTGCCACTAAATCTGCTCAATTTGTCAATTATTAGCACATATTGAAGCTGTCTAAGTCATACAAAATTCATTAGCTTCGCGTTGACAAGTTATACACCGCTTGGCATGAGCGTCAAGTCGACAGAAATTAATATTGTGCACACTGTTGCTTTATTTTAAATCAAAAAAGGCGCATAGCTATGAGCAAAACTGAATAATAACAATACATGCAGACAATTTTCAACTACACTCTTTATAAAAATATATTTACACTTGCTTTTATATCATAATTATTTCATCAAATATCTACTTTTTATATTCTATTAAATATTTAATAGCAATTTTAAATACATCTAACAAATCTAGTCACTCAAAAATTCCATTAAATGCCCACAAAATTGCGTCTATCAATAAAAGTATAAATTTCAATAAAATTGCTAAGTACCAACGCTATACTGTAGCTGGTAAAAATTCAGCTTCAGCAGCAGTAAAAACGCTAATAAAAAATAAAATCGACAAAAGCAAGCGAAACAAGTTGACGTCATGCCGTCACATCGAATCGAATCGCTTACGAATTCGATTTTAGTTCTGTTATTGACTTGACTTTTGTTAAATGCGAGTTGCGTGTTAAAATTTTCTACACATAAATGTCTATATATAATTCTCTACTCTTGCATAGCTCAAAGTATGTGCGATTAAGTGCATATGACTGGCTAGCTGTTTGTATATCGTGTACAACATTTCGATATTGATTCAATTCATATAAATATTCGCTTTTGTAAGGTACAAACCGACAAAATATCAAATGTATGCCAATCTACGCAAATGTGGTTTCAATTTGCTGTGTTTTGTTTTCTGTTTATAGCAAACTACCCGGCAGGCAGTAGCTCCTGTTACTATTGTATGAAAAATTTGGAGTTTTTTGCATTATATTCTAGTTAGTTATTAATTTCGTTTAAAATTTTGTATGTTTTAGTATTACTGAATAACAAGCTAGTGGTTTGTTTTTTGATATCTGATACTGTAGAACCACATTTCGCTTAATATAATATCATTATAGAAACCGTCTTTATAATACCTATTTATTCTCTCTTGTTTA